CTTGTTTTTTTTTGTTTACCTCTTCCCTGTTCATAAAGTATCCTCCCCTGTACACCTAGTCTCTCCCCTGTACTGTGTATTTCCCTTGGTCACTTATAAAACGAAATAAAACCAATAAATTGACTGGCCACTTTGTAAACGTTTTCAATTTAGCAGTTTCCATTAAAAATATGTATACATAAGTAAAAATATATAAAAAAAAGCCGTGCCGCCATTTCATACAACGAATTACCTCTTAACTTAGAATGACCCTTATATTTTAAGTTATATATATTTTCATTTAGTTATAGTTAATATTAATTGTATATATAATAATATCGATGATATTAAAATTTGTATAAAGTAAAAAAAAAAAAAAAATTATAAGAGATCTTCAATCTTGCACCACTGAGCTTGACCGCTGTAGATTAATGTATGACTCAAACATAACAAGCCTTCATAATGATTTAATGACAAAGGAAGGTATGTTGAGGGAGATATTTAAGAAATACAAATATTCCCAACAACAGTTGAGTGAGCACCTGCTTGAGGCCTCGGAGCTGATGGATTTGGTGAAGAACAACGCAGAAAGGTATGAATCCTTAACAAATAACCTAGAATGCAGTTGTGTGAATCAACCTCAGACCCCGGAGACCTCACTTTTGCTACCTACTCGAGTTGCAGTAAATACCCAACCAAAAGATACACAAAATTATAAAACACATGTCTACAGTGATGAGTTAGGTTCTGGATTTGGCCAAATGCTGTATACAGCAGTTACCACAACATGAGTTATAAAAATATTATTAAACAAATAACTCATGCAGATTTAAATGAAAAGTCAGTTTTAGTTTTAATGTTAGGTAACAGCTTAGGAATAACAAGAGGGGACATTGTGAACGGTGTGGACACCTTGTTGAACTTGAACATAGGGAAGATAATATTGTGTGCCTTCCCATATTCTAATAATTTATCATGTTCTAAGAACAAATACATAGGTGTACTGAATAATACACAACTCCAAATGACATGTCACAATGACAGACTTTTATTTGTTGACACTAATAAATTTATTAGTACTTTTGTTTTTACGAAGAAAGGTGTACACCTTTCAAAGAAATGTCGACAAAAAATTGCTATGCTGATAGCATATAATATTAACACTGTTATAACTTTTATAACAGAAATTAGTTTTAAGGACGAATCTGTGTTGTCTAGAGTGTCTAACAGCACATAAGCACATTATTAATTTAAGTTTAAACTAGATTTTAAGACAACAGAACATACCTTCATAAATCATATAAATAATAAGGTATATTCTGGCAAGGAAAAAGCACAGAACAATTATACACAGGGGCAGCACAATCTACAATTATTTTATATTAACATTCAGGGCTGCTCCTCAAAAATCTTTGAATTAGAGATGTTTCTGGAAAAGATATTATTGGAGAAAGATTAGACATAAGTGTATTGAATTACACTTTAATATACAAATGGGGATGTGACGGGTCATCGGGCCATAGCTTATACAAGCAACCATTTGAAGATCCAGATAGCACAGATGAATATATGTTTATCATCTCGTTAGTTCCAATAAGACTCGTAAATGATGAACAGAAGATCATATGGGAAAACCCTCGTCCATCATCACCAAGATTCTGCAGAGTGATAAAATTTATTTATAAGAAAGAAACTGAAGCATTAATCAAAGAAGAGTGCCAAGTAATTGAAAAGCAAATAATGGAGTTGGAACCAACTCGCGTAGAAGTAAAGAGTGTAGCCATCTCCATAAAACACAATTTGATTATGTCAATGATTGACGGAAAAGTCTGTAATGTTCTTACAGAAAACAAATCAACACAGAGGTGCTTTATCTGTAAAGCAACATCCAAAGAGATGAATTCACTTCAACCAATGGTTAGAGAAGTAGATGAGAGCATGTACGCATTTGGCATATCGAGCCTACATGCATACATTCGGACAATGGAATGTTTGTTAAACATTAGTTATCGCATGGACATTCGCGAGTGGCAAGTAAGGGGAGAACAGAACAAGAAAATAGTTAAAAAAACTAAAGAAGAGATCCAAAAAAAGTTTAAAGGAATTGGCCTAATCATAGACAAAGTAAAGCCGGGTTTTGGAACCAGCAATGATGGTAACACTGCGCGAGCCTTCTTTTATAATTGTGCCACAACGGCACAAATCACCAACATTGATGAAAATCTAATCCATCGAATTGGCACTATTTTAGCGGCCATAACTTCAGGATACGAAATTAATACCGAAAAATTTCAAGAATTTTGTCATGAAACCAGAGTCATTTACGTGAATTTATATGGTTGGTATAATATGCCAGCCACAGTGCACAAAATTCTTGTACATGGAGCAAGCATAATAAAAAAATGTATAATACCAATAGGACAAATGTCTGAAGAGGCTTCTGAAGCCAAGAATAAAGAAATTAGGAAGGCCAGATTAGGCCACACAATGAAAACCTCAAGATACAGAACCAATTACGATTTAATGAAGCATTTACTGATATCTTCAGATCCCTACATCACGCTATTAAGAAAACTTCCAAGAAAAAGTACATTGAGACACGACAAAGATGTACTTACTTTGTTAAAAGATTGAAATAAATATTGTATACATTCCATTTGGCCTTTTATTAATCATATTATTATTTTAAATGTAACAAAAAAATCATTCTTTTAGTTCCTGAGTTTTGTCCACCTAGATTTGTCAAATCGTATACTGTGAGTCGGTTAAAAAGTAATAAACGGTGCGGGGGGAGAGTGGTGTCATTGGAATCAGTGATCGTGCGGATTTCTCAGTCACGATGTCGCACTGGTCGAGTGAGCATCGCGCGTTCGCCATCGAGGCATTTTTAAGAGTAACGATTCGTACGTAATTGCGCGTCGACAGTTTTGTTCACACTTCGGTACACGACGAATAAGTGATGGGCCGAGTGTGAATTTAATTCGTTCCTGGGTGCAAAGGTTCCGCGCAACTGCTTCGGCTATGAACACTCCACGGCCAGGGCCCAGTCGATCTTCAAGGACTCCCGAAAACATTGAAGTGGTTGAAGAGAGTTTACGTGCAAATCCACAACTTTTGATACGGAAAAGGGCAGCCTCACTAGGACTTCCGAGAGCGATTATTCATGAAATTTTAAAAAAGGATTAGGACTTCCGAGAGCGATTATTCATGAAATTTTAAAAAAGGATTTAAAGTTCCATCCATCCAAAATTCAAATCGTTCAAGAACTCAAAGAAAGTGATTTTGTTTCACGCAAAAATTTTTGTGAGACGATGTTGGAGCGTTTTCGTACTGTGAATCCCATTTTTTGGAGTGATGAGGCTCATTTTCATTTAAACGGGCACGTTAATAAACAAAACTGCCGTTACTTGGCTCCAAGAACTCAAAACCCTCGACTGAAACACTAAAAGCCATTGCATTGCCCCAGGGTAACTGTTTGGTGCGCCTTATCCACGCATGGAATAATTGGACCATTTTTTTTTCGAAAATGCTCGGGGCCAGGCGACAAATGTCAATAGTGACAATTATCGACGCATGATAACGGACTTCTTTTTACCAAACCTGCGAGCTCATCCATCGTTTTCATCGCACACGTGGTTCCAACAGGATGGTGCGACTGCACACACGGCTAGAGATTCGATGAATTTGCTTCGGAAAGCTTTCCCTCAAAAACTTATCAGTCGCTTTGGGGACATCCCGTGGCCACCCAGGTCCCCTGACTTAACCCCAATGGATTTTTTTTATGGGGCTACCTCAAAGAGAGAGTCTACAGCAACAATCCCCGAACTGTAGTGAACTTAAAAGAAAACATCCGTCGAGAAATCAGCGCAATTGAATCAAGTTTACTGCAGCGTGTGGCGCGTAACACGAAGCTCCGCTTTGAACAATGCGTGCAACTTGACGGAAGACATTTGGATGACATAGTGTTCAAAAAATAAAGTCTGTCGATTAATATTTCAAATAAAACAATTTATCAAATAGATTTTTTTTATTTAATTTTGAAAATATAAATCTGCCGCCAGACACCCTGTATAAGAGAAACTGTAAGGGTGCGTCCACATCTGGCGAATGTGCCGCGAATGTGCAGCTCGCGAGCAGTTTGCGACCTGCCTGCGAGCTGCGCGCGTGCATTTTTGTTCGTGCGCCGCTTCTGCGCCGCCCGCGCGCAGTTCGCGCGCGACCTAAGCGCCGTACGCGATCAGCGCACGGGCCTTGCGCTAGTTATTTCGCTCAGTTCGTTTCTGATTACTGGAGGCTAAGTACGTGTTGTCATGGAGTGGACGGAGGAGAATTGTTTACGCTTAATTGAAACATATAAAAGATTTCCAGTATTATGGGATCCTAAAGATCAATATTACTATAGAAAAAATCTAAAAAATGATGCGTGGAAAGAAATAGGTGCTATAATGGGAAGCGATTATGAACAATGCCATAGCAAACTGTTAAGTCTTTTATCGTCTTTTAGAAGAGAGAAAGGAAAAAGTCAAAAAAGTAAAGGGACAGGGAAAGTGAGTAAAAAACGACTTGTTACTTTTTGTGTTTTATTTTATTAATTAAATTGACTATGTGACTAATAATATTACTCTAAGACAAAAGGTTAGAGCCCATAATCCAGTCCCCACAACTTTAGAAGACCTGGAAACGCTATCAGGGAAGAATGGAACCGAATCCCTCAAGAGACCATCAAAATATTGATAAGGTCACTAAAACGGCGAATGCAGGCCGTCATTCGAGCAAGAGGAGGAAATACGCAATATTGAATTGCAATAATTGTATACAAAAACATTAATTTAAAAAAAAACTAGCGCGTATTTAAAATTAATCAAAAAATCGCGAAACGTTATGACTTAGCATTTTTTGCCAAAAATATTGTCAGGAAATCATTTAGATGTGTAATTTGTGATTAAATTCGTGGAATTAGACAAGTTAAATAAAACAATTTCAGTTATGAAACATTTTGTTTGGTTTTGCTTAAGAAAAATGTTATTTACGGTGAAAACGCAGGTGGGCCGATTTTTTTTTTTTGGCCGGCTTCGTAGAGCGTTATCTCTGTCGCACACTACCTATGTGACGTTTGTCAGTCGTTGTTCAAGTGCGATAAAGTGCGGTCGCGTCCAGTTCAAAATATATATTAAGAGTTGTTAACACCCCCAAAAAATAATTTAAAATTGCACAATGGCATCTTTAGGAAAAAGAGGGAAACCTTTACGAGGTCAGTCACGCGAAATTATCTACAATGTTTATAAATATTTTGTAACCGAAGGTGACAGATTAAAAAAAATGAAGATGAAAATGTAAGTTATTATTTTAAGAAGGTTCAAGAGCGAGTTGCAAATGCCACTGGAATTTCAAGAAGAACTTTGAACAATATATTAGGGTGAATATACGGTATTTGAATTCTGAGAGTCAATAGAAAAATTTTATATTAAAACTTATTATATTATTGTTTCTGTATGCTTAAACAATAAAGAATATGGTCTTTTATTTGGCCCACATAGATAGACTATGTGGGCCAAATCAAGGCAATTGTTTAATTTAAGGCATTAATAGTTTAAAATAGTTTTAAATGTATACTCCTCTGGCCTTTCCTATTAGTAGATTATAATGCTTTTATGACCAGATACTTTAAATTCGAATGCCATTATGTTGTTTTTAATATGATCTTTTATAAACATCGAAACATATTTTATCAAAATACACTGTAAAAATAGTTATTTTAAATAAAAAAAATAACTTGCATTCATGTCACGTTACAATAATGTCACTTGCATCTGGCGAAACTCAAAGAAGTAAATGAACTATGCGCGTGCAACAGTGTGAAGTTAGAAACAAGCTAACGACGTTGAGCAAAACTCCATTAATTTTGCGTCAGTTTACGATTCATTGTAGGAAAGTGTGTTTGTGCCAGTCGTTGGAGTATTTCCTTTGGTAAGCAAATGTTTTTGTATTTTATCGTTACGAAATTGTATATTTGCCTAATGCAATGTTTATTGTGTGTAGTTGTCATGTATTACGTTAAACTGTGGTTAGAAAACCGAGTGATCGTTTTTTGTAGGTTATGTGCAATTTTGTCACTTTTCTGGCGTCACTTCTCTGGCATATTTCATGCCAGAGGAAATACATAATCGCCAGGAAAGTGACGAAAGGACAATGGGCGGAATCGTCCCCACCCATCAACAAAAATGAAATGTAGCTCAATTGACACATCTTGGCAAGATGATATTTTTTTACTATGGGGACGTTGCTCAAATTAATTGGGTTCTCATAGTAACTAACGTTTAAACAAAATATTTCGTTTAAGTATTATTGACGAGTAATTGTAAAACACCTACTCATTTATCTATTCATTAGTGCACAGTGGTGGCGCATGCACACAAACCCCGCACCCCCACCCTCGCTCCTACGCTTGCGACCCTATTCGTCGGCAGGTAGTCGCCCGAACCTTAGTCACGGTCAGTTTGTTGCAGTGTTCGTTCGTATTTATTTATCTCTGTCTTATCGGTTTTTACTTTACAACTACGACCCCTGCTTATTTACTGGACTGATTGATAGTTTTTCGATTGACCCTGGCACGATAACGGACTTCTGTGTATTATGGAAACTGGACGGCGGTGTATAATGTGCCCGCGATCTGTCTTGCGACAAAGGCGGCACGTTTTGGAAGAGGCGTTAATTGAAAATGAACCTGAATTAGTCAACCATATTTCACAAAATGCACTGATACAGGTAAATAACATCTTTTATATATAAATATATAACTACATAATATGTAAACTGTGTATTTAATTCATAATATTAATATCTGTGTTTTCACTACAAATATTTATGATATGTGCACCCTCCTGTAGCACACCTTCATTTTTTTATATTTATTTCGTATTAGACTACTATTGTATACTTTGAACAATCATTGGGCGATAACTAATAACATTACTTACACCAATTATCTAGACCCAAGCTAAACATAGTTTGTACTATGAAAACTACGTTACGAAATACTTATATAAATACATATTTTAATATGTTTTATAAACATATGTGACGCGGAAAACACGTCATATTCCAACACAAATACTCGAACCCTACGAGATTTGGCCACGCGAAAAGGTTAGTTCTGATACTCATCGAGATTTTTTATGTTCCAGGTTGCATTCAATAACACTATGGCAGTGTGCCATAGATGCTGGCAAAGAGCTAACAATGCTGCGCGAAAAAGTCGCATCGGAAATACAGACAATGACGTCCCAGGTCTTGAAGTTCAAAGAAACGCAGACGATGTCAATGTACAAAACGTCGTTGTTGAAGATCATCATGATGTTGATGAACAAGATCAGGTGTTGGACGATTTAGGAAATCAAGAACAGGACTTTTACGTTCGCGATTATGTGAGGGCACCAAATTCTTCTCGCAGCTGCTGTTACAGACAGTGCACAAACGAAAACCTAAGGCGAATTCCTACTTCAATGAAAGTGTATTTGGTATGTAACTATCGCCTGTATATTCCACCGAGTGCGCGATTATGCCAAGATCATTTAAGAAGTACTAACATCGACGAAGTATTAGACAACATCAACGTTACGAATTATTTCAATTCTTCTTTTTTTTCGGACATGACGAACATGTTGGTAAATGCCATTAACAATGCCCCTAGTTTCGATTTTGAATCTGGACTTAATGCACAGGAATTACATTTTTGGACCGGTTTGACATTAGAACAGTTTGACGCTATCTTAATGGAAACACCGAGTCTATCAGAAAGGTCCCGTCATCCACGTACAGTGCTAGGTGTGTACTTAACTAAACTCAGAACTGGTGAATCTAACGAGCCATCGTTTTAAACAAAAGGTGTGAATGAGATAGACATAAGTAAGTATACGTAAATTATATCTATTACCGGGTTTAACTTATCAGTTCACTCGTTTTATGCATAGTGCAAGGTCGTTGCAATGTCGGGTGAGGGATCTTCTAGTGGTGCAGTGAATTTAAAAATTGTTAATAGTACACGAGGCGGTGAAATTTTATTACGCGCTGGGCATCAATATTATAAACAGAAAAATAATAAGGACTCAAGTTGGTGGCGCTGTGTTAATAGAAAAGATGGATGTTCAGCAAGTGTAACTTTGAATTCAAATCGAAGCCATGTATTAAGAGAAAATGCTCACTGCAGTTCTTGTATTCCGAATTTTGAAAAAAATGAAGTGAAAGTAGCCATCGAAAAATGTAAACAAACTATATGTGAAGATCTGAAGCCGATTCCAGCTACATACAGGAAATGTACTAAAAAGCTGAAAGATAATGGTTATGAAATTATTAAAAAATTAAAAAATTTTGACAAAGTTAAAAGCAGTTTGTATAGACACAGAAATAGACAACTAGGAATCACAAAATCTCAGCACTCTAACTCTACAGAAATCGTGATTCCTGACCGTTTTAAAGACAATTTATTGTTTGATGAGATTGACGGTGAAAATAGAATGATTGTGTTTGGTTCAAAGAGTGCAATTGCACATTTAAATGACGTCCGTCACTACTTTGCGGACGGAACGTTCAAATGTTGTGCAAAGCCGTTTCTTCAACTATACGTTGTACACGGAGACATAGGAAGTACAGAAACTGGGACAAATATTGTACCATTTTTTTATGCAGTGTTGACAAACAAAGAAGAAACTACATATGAAAGACTGTTTTACAAACTAAAATTTCATTTACCAGAATGGACAGCCGATATTATTACCTTGGATTTCGAAAAAGCTCCAATAAATGCAATTAAAACGACATTTCCAAACATAATTGTTAAGGGGTGTTTTGTTCACTTTGGCAGAGCGCTATTAAGAAAGGCAAAATCTCTTGGCTTATTACAACATGAAGAATCTCACTATCACGTCAAACTATGTATGGCTCTGGCACATTTACCAAAAGAAGACATAAACGATGGATGGCTATACGTTATGAGTTTATGAGTCAAAGGTAAATTAATTTTGCAGTATTGAAATGAACGCGTTTAGTTCTGGATATTTCTTCTACCGCCATTTTCTACAGCCATTTTTATGCGTTAGAAACTAGGTAATATATGGTTTTTCGTATCATAATCTTCAACGAATTAATTCTGTTACAGTTTTAAAGAAAAAACTATAACTGAATTCAATGATTACTTTGTGGATCAGTGGTTGGAAAATGAAGATATGATGAATATTTGGTGCTGCTACGCACAAAGACACCGCACTACAAACCTCATGGAATCTTGGAATTGGAGTTTCAATAGTGAAATTGGAAAAAGGCCATCAATTCTTTTATTTTTCGAAACGATATCAGGCAATATTAAACATTATGAAAATCTTCTGAAAAGGTACATATTTTTGTTTCAATGACCTGTATTTTTAGGCGACACATATGATAAAAATTAAACATTATTACTTTAATTAATCATAACAATTTTTTACAGCTTTTATAATAATGGAGAAAGTATATCAAAACGAAGAAAAAAATCTGTCCAAAATGATATACGAATTAACAATATTCTCGGCGATTACAAAAGTGGAAAAATATCATTGGAAAATTGTTTGAACGAATTATCAAGAATTGCTTGTATCACTTTATAATTTATTGATTTTTAACTTTGTAGTGTAGGTAGTAAATTTTTTATGTTAATATTCCAAATCTGTGATTATATTTTATAGTTGATTTTGTGTGTAATTTTTAATGTTAATGTACCAAATCTGTGATTATTATTTATTTTTATATTTAAAAGTTGATTTTGCATGTATTTTTTATGTTATTGTACCAAATCTGTGATTATTATTTGTTTTTATATTTAAAAGTTGATTTTGCATGTATTTTTTATGTTATTGTACTAAATCTGTGATTATTATTGTTTTTATATTTAAAAGTTGATTTTGCATGTATTTTTTATGTTATTGTACCAAATCTGTGATTATTATTTGTTTTTATATTTTATAGTTGATTTAGTATGTATTTTTTATGTTATTGTACCAGATCTGTGATTATTATTGTTTTTATATTTTATAGTTGATTTAGTATGTATTTTTTTACGTTAACGTACCAAATCAGTGACTGTTTATTTTTATATTTTATAAGTAGTTGATTTCGTATGTATTTTTTTATGTTAATGTACATTAACATAAAAAGATAGTACCAAATCTGTGATTATTGTTTTTTTATATAAGTTGATTTCGCACCTAGATTGACTTATGTTATTAAAAAAATAAAACTTGTCATCGAAATAGTCAAATCGAACTGTGATTTTTCTTAAATTTTTTGAAAGTTATTTGTACACCCCACTTTTTATTTCTGTTTTTAAATATCAATATGTGTAAATGGCATACGTACACATAATCCGACTATTGTACCTGTGATTAAAAATATTTAACAAAATAAATGACAATGTTATCATTAGTTTCGTTTTTCTTTTTTTACTTGACTGTACCCATTTCATCTGAAAGTTTACCAAATGGGATATAACACAAAAGAATATTGAAATGTTTTCGAAATGGGACTAAATGTATGAAATGTATAATGTTTACCAAACGCAACTTTTTAGTAGGTACAGTTTGAGGTTTACGAAATGGGAAGTTTACCAAATGGGAAGTAGCCTTTAGAACTGATCTTGTATTTTGTTTTGTTTAAATTAAAATTGTTAAAGAGAGACAAATTAGTGTCGTCAGTTGATTATTTTTTGAGTTATTTAGAGAATTTATTAATGAATATGGTTATTTTATGTATATTTTGATAATGATTATTACAGTTTTATCTCTTGTTTTTTCTATAATTCTTACAAATATAATTGTTTTATAGAGAATATGTTTAATTTTGTCATTAACAGCCTTGACTTTTGATTCATAGGTTGTCGGCTCACATCACAGGAAACAATAAACTGGGTGAAAGATTTTTATGTTGTTCGTGGTTTAGTTAGGACAATGCAGGCTGAATCACAATCATGATGATGATGGAATTCTTCAACGGAATTAGTGGGAATGATTGGCAACCAGGGCTTGTCGGGTCGTTCATCGGCCTTGTAACTTACATGATGATGATGATGATAATTGATGATTTCTTCCTTTGATGGAGGTACCTGAAGGGTTATTTAATTATCTGACAGCGCTAGAAAGAGGGTTATTTATTTTTCCTTATTTATTACAGAGTCCAATGAAGAACGAACTGATTTAGCCGCTCTAACATCGCTACCTTTTTTGATGAGCACATCAAATGTTACTTCTACAAAGAAAGCAACTAAAAAGACACAATGGAGACCATCAAAGCGAGAGGTATTGGAAGGCTTCATAACTCAAGTCGCAAGTCCAGCTGAGGTAGCAGTAGAGATAACAAGAAAAAGAGACAAGCTTATGGAAATGGACCTTCAAATGCAACCTTTTGTAATTGCAGTTGTGTAACCGAATAAATCAATTACAGCAAGGTACATACATAGTGATTAATAACATAACATATGAAATGCCAACTATCACAAAAGCTGTAGAAGTTTGTTTAAAGGCGATTTTTGTATTGAATGCTGAATATCCTAAAGAGTCCCGTCATGTCTGGCAGTTTGTACAACTGTACTTTTTGAGTTAAAAACGAAATATGATAAAAGCTTTACTGCAGTAAATACACTTATATCGGATCTCGGCATTAAAACACAAAGAACAAGCATTGATCACATAAATCGCATATAAGCAAACAAACTAAAATGCCCAAGTGTTTCCTATGTTTGAAAGACCTGACAAGTGTACCGAACCTAATAACACATTTTTCTTTGAATCATGAAAGACAAAATTTTAGTGTTTATCATTGCATTGAAGATGATTGTAATCGTTCTTTCCATTTAAGAAATACCTATCGAAAACATCTATACCATAGTCATGCTACTGCTAGGGGTAGAATATTAAATTCCGATTCTGATAATACACATTCTGAAAATACTAGTAATAATCAGTAATAATAAGTAATAATACTAGTAAATATATCAGCTCTTCAACCCTCGTATTCACATTCTAATATCACATTTTATTCAAGGGGAGGTCATCATTGAAACAGTACATGCCGATGAAGCCGATCAAGCGTGGGTACAAAGTCTGGTGTCGGTGTGATAGCCAAAGTGGGTACCTATTTGAATTTCAAATATATACCGGTAAGACCGATAATACTGTTGAAGAAGGGTTAGGCGCAAAAGTTGTCAAAAGCCTAACAGAGAAACTCATAGCAGCAAATATGCAGAATGTTCACGTAACCTTTGACAACTTTTTTTTGCTACTACAATATTTTGGCGTACTTGTACGACAATGGTATACACGCGACCGGCACGGTACGACGTTTCAAAAATTTCTGCTCGAGCTAACTTTAATTGACGCAATATTACTCTTAGCTTAGCTAAAAAACACCAGTTACAGTTGAACGAATATTTGGTAAAGGCTCATTGAAATCTCCTATTTCTGTTGGTGTTACCCCCTGGCCACAGCCAGGCGCGGCGCGGATTGCGGCGCGAAATGCGGCGCGACAAGCGGTGAGCGGGGAAAACAAATGGTAGACAACGTATGAAGTATGCCACAGCTAACGGCGACGCAAATGGCGGAGCGACCTGCGGCGCGGAGAGCGTCGCGCGGCATGCAGCGGCGACGGGCGGCGCAGTGTCCGAGTGAAACAAATGCACTCGGGAGTATCGAGGCGGCCACAGCCAGAGCGGCGCGCGAACTGAATAAATTGTTTTGAAAATTTCGCTCCGCATCAAGTATCAATGTTAAATATGGTTAAATATACTTTTTTTATAAATAAGTTGACTCTTTCATTATATAAACGACGTACTAACCTTAAAGTAAGAAACAGTTGTTCTGGAGATGAAACAATTTTCTTAAAATTAACTGTAGCTGTCAAATCTTCTTTTATGTGGCCGAGTATGTATTCGGAGGTTTCTATGCTTGTCCTCGTGTATTCAAAAATTTTTTCTGGATAGTTCCTATATTCGTGATAAAGCGTGTAAAATTCGCCAAGGTTTTTCCTTTTTTCATTAACTGTGTGCGTTCCAATTTTAGAGTTAATGATATCTTGAGCTAAAAACGCATTAGTCTCAAGACAATATCGTGCCACTTTTGATAGGGCCATTATAAATAATACTGAGTACGTCCACCGCTGACGCCGCCGCGGTCGCAACTAGTCGAGCCTCGAGCTGTGGCATACCAACGCAAATCGCGTCGCCCGCCGCGCCTCCCGTCGCACCGCGCGCCGCACCGCTAGAAGCTGTGGCCAGGCCCTTACGAAGAGAATCTCAAAACTTGACCGGAGTACTGTTATATCTTACTTAAATTTAGACCCGAGTCTATCTCTTGTATCTGTTACATGGGCAAAAGTAAAGAGTATATTCTTTATAAACCTGGGACGATTCTTCTTCATAATGTAACTGGGAATTATGATGATATCGGAAATGTTACATTTATGAATGTCAATAATCTTTATATATACAACGAAGATAAAATTATTTTTGAAACTAAATTACTATCGACGATTGATTTTAATTTTCATTTAGATTGTTTTGAAGTCAAGTCATCAGAATAGAAGAAAAGGATATATATGTTTCATGATAATTTATTATCATATGTACCTAGTCATATCAATGTTACTCATGATGGTAAATTGTACGTTACACAGAGAGCCCAATCATAGCATCTCCAATTATGTATGCCTACTACTTAATGGGGCTACTTTTCAATCAATGTAAATCATACTGTAATCTTAAAAAAAACAAAAGCTGCCCCCGATAGGAACCTATAATGTAACCTATGTTATATTGTACTAATATGACTGGCCTGTTGATCTAGTAACCCTGACTGCTATGCCAGAGGTCGTGGGTTCGATTCCCACCCAGGACAAATGTTGGTGTGATGAGCACGATCATTTGTTCTGTGTCTGGTTGTAATTTATCTATAATATGTATGTATTTAGAAATATATAAGTTTATTAGTTGTCTAGTTCCCATAACACAAGCTCTGCTTAGCTTGGGGCTAGATGGCGTTGTGTGATAGTTTTGGAATATTTATTTATTTATTTTATTTAATAGTAGTTAATTGAATAGAAAATTAGCTATATACAGGGTGGCGCAATAGAACGTGCATATTGCATCATTTTTTTTTTTTTGCGGCGTGGACGGGGGGAGACCGATATCGTTGGGTAGCGCGGTTCATAAAGTTTTAGTCACTATGAGTAACTTCGACGGGAAGCGTCGCGCATTTTACGAGAACTCTCGTTCGTACGTAGTTGTTAGGCGACTATTTTGTTCTGAGTATGGTGTACGGCAAATTAGGGAGGCTCCGAGTGCTAATTTAATTAAAATCTAGATAAAGCGTTTTGAAGAGACTGGATCGACGTTTAACTCGTCGAATACCGTCATTATAGACACAATTATAGAACAATAGGTTGCGGTCACCGGTGACCGCTTGGTGTTTGACAGTTTAAACCACACGCGAAAGGTCGTCCACGCACATCTAGGACCGAAGACAATATTTAGAGTGTTAAGCAGTCGGTACGAGAAAATCCACAAATGTCTACTCGCAAGAGATCGTCTGTCCTAAACATATCGCGACGAAGTTTGCAACGAATTTTCAACTTTGATCTCAAATTG